GGGGTCATTGGTGTTTCCATATGAATTTTTGAACTATTGCAGTTCGTTGAAGAATGCTGTTGGTAACTTGGTAGGGATTGCATCAAATCTGTATATTGCTTTGGGCAGGATGGCCATTTTGACTATATTAATTCTTCCTACCCAAGAGCATGGGATGAGTTTCCATTTGTTAGTGACCTCTTTATTTTCTCTTAAGAGTATCTTACAGTTCTCAGGGTATAGGTCTTTCACTTCTTTGGTTAGGTTTACTCCTAGGTATTTTATTCTTTTTGATGCAATTGTGAATGGAATTGTTTTCCTGATTTCTCTTTCTACTAGTTCATTGTTAGTGTATAGGAAAGCTATGGATTTCTGTGTGTTAATTTTGGCCAAGGAGGGGAACGGGGCCCTCGGGCAGGTAGATGAACTCATGTCGGGCCTTGTGGCCTCCGAGTTCACATTGGTGGGCTTGACAGAAGTGTTGCTGGACTGCTTTTGTCCCAGTGGCACCGAGGATAGTAGCAGTCCTTTACTGAAAGGGGCTAAGGGAGGGTGACCACAGAGTGTTCTGCCCCTGCGTCAGCCATAAAAGTCATGTGTTGTCCCCCCACCTTCATTCTGACCATGCGTTCAAGGGGCTGACAGCGGAGAGCCGATCCTTGTCAGGCTGAGTCTGCTCCTGCCAGGCCAGCGAGCCTTTCCCTGTGGGCTCCTCCCGGCAGTGACTGGGCCTTGGGGCTTTGCCTCAGTTGGGGCATTCGTTCTCCCAGTGCCTTCGTTCTCTTCACAGTAAGCACACTGCTCCCTGGCTGGGGGGGTCCTAGGCTTCCCCCCTTCTTGGCAGCAAGCTTTTTCTGCCTTTTGGTCATCTCTCTTTTAGGACAGCTGCCAGGAGGCTGGCCTTTCTCTTCATTCTTTTTTCAGCCTCCCTGTCAGCTTGAACTTCCCTGTTCATGTATGGTTTGTTGGCAATTTCAATCAGCTGAGTGATATTCATCCCAGCAAAGCCCTCGAGTTTTTGGAGCTTTTGTCTGATGTCTGGGGCAGCTTGGGCTACGAATTAGATGTTTCCCATCTGCTGGCTCCCTGGTCACTCAGGGTCGAAAGGGGTGTAGATGCAATGAGCTTCACACAGTCTTTCATAATAGTCCCCAGGAGACTCTCCTGGTTGTTGAGTGACTGAAGAATCTTTGGTCATGTTCATGGGTCTTTTGGACCCAGCTTTGATTCCCTGGAGGACGGCATCTTGATATCAGCAGATCTGGTGCTGTCCCTCAGGGATGGTGAAGTCCCACTCAGGGCGCTCCTCAGGGACAGCAATTTCAGCCCATGTACCTCAATCAAGGACCCTGGCTGGTGCGTGCTCTTCCAGGTATTGGCGGGCTTCTTTTATAATCTACCTCCTCTCCGTGTTGAACAGGGTGCACAGAAGCTGTTAGCAGTCTTCCCAAGTCGGCTGATGAGTTTGGAAGAGGGATTCCATTAGATCAACCAAGGTTTGTGGCTTCTCTGAGTATGATGGGGTGTGTTTCCAATTGAGGAGGTCAGTCAGGGAGAAGGGTTGGTAGTAAAGCATGGACCGGCCTGGCTGGGTGATCCCGTCCTCATCACGCTTCTCAGGCTCCCAAGCTTCTCGCACCAGCATATGAAAGGCACCTGCTCCCGGCCAAGGATGCAATCTGGCTGCTGATCCAGGGGAGAGTGGGTCTGCTGGCTCTGGAGGTGGCAGGGAGACTGACGGCAATGGGGTGTCTGGGACTGGGGGTCTGGGTGCTGACAGCCTTGGAGGCACATAAGGTGAGGGCAGTATTAGCTCTTCCTCTGGGTCACCAGCAAGAATTTGCGGAGGCGGAGGCTTCTGCTGATTCTTTGTAGGCTTCTTTGTTGAGGCGACTAAGACCCTACCCTGCCTGTGCCTGTTGCAAGTGAATCACACCCAAGGGGGGAAGGGTCTCGGCAACTCCTAAGCAGGCGTCAATATATGGGAACTGGTCAGGATGACCTGGATCTCCAGTGATGACCCGCCAGACTCAGCAGACTGTTGGGACATCCAGGGTGCCTTCCAGAGGCCACCCTACACTAAAGTTGGGCCATTCAGATTCACACAGGGTTTTCAACCTGCTGTGAGTTAATTTTACTCTGTGTTCTTCTGAAAAATCCCTTCCTGAAATTTTTGATCATAGTATCAAGAATTGTGGGTTTGCTATGTATGCTCTGACCCTATGTGTTCGTGTAACAGTGCCATGACAACAGACAAAGGAGGGGTGCCACCACTAGCGAGGAGACCAGTCAGATACCCGTCCATTCACACTCCTCAGTGACTTTGGTCAGCCTTGACTATGGTGCACCTGTAAAGTCCTGGACCCGGTCAGCCAAAGCTGAGTCACCTTATGTCATAGCAGATGACCA